TCTAACTCAAGTCTAAAGTCATGCTTCGACTAGAGCTTTTAAGAATATATGAATGACCCATAATGGATATGCAATGCCTTTTATTGATCATAACTCGATGTCTACAATGATATGATGATCAACTTTTGGGCATATCACTAACAATTAGTAGTTTTGTATACCTTAATGCAGAGACTATAAAAGTGTGTCACTACGCATGTGATAACACTAAAAAGAGTAACAAATCATATGAATTTACAAAACTAGTCAAAAAGATGTTTCACAAGACAAAAAATGTAACCTCTAACCTTAGGAGCTTAATAATATTTTATACACAAATTAATTGAACGAATTACAAATCAAAATAGTTTTAAGAGATACGAGTTTAGTGAGTCATTACTAAAGATTCAAGTACAGAATGTTAGGACGATTGAATTACAAAGGATTTAAAACAAAAAACATATGGTGAACTCATGTTAAAAGTACAACCTAAAGATTTCCCAATCACATTCTTTTGTATCTACCGACACATTTATTTTAGCACAAGATACATTGGTGGAAGTAAGGATCTGCTATTCAATGAATCGGTAAAGAGGTTTAAAATAAAATTAAAATATCCATAGAATTTGATATTGTTTATTAATCCATGATCTTCATATATCATAATAAATCATCCTTTTGGAACACCTTCAAAACCCTATGTTCTCTCTCTCTCCGAAGAACTATGATTTTAGGGTTTTGATTGATTGTATTTATGAATAATAAGTTTTCATTTAAATCCCCAAGCTATACCTCAATTGAAACATAAGCAAATTATAACCCTAAGGGGCTCTTCGGATCATGGGAATTGAAAGGAATTGGAATGTTCAATTCTTTGACCAAATTCCAAATAGAGTGTTTGGTTCATGGAATAAGACTATGGAATCCTTTCAATTCCAGTCGATTCCTTCACGCACAGATTTTACAATTTCATGGCAATATGCTAGGATTTCAATTCCTTTCCTACAGATTCCTTCCCTAATCCAATTCCGTTAAGAATTTCATTCTAATTCCATGCAACCAAACGCAATCACAAGGCATGGTCAAATTCCATCAGATTTCATTCCATTCCCTCAAAGTCAAATTCATTTGATGAATTCCAATGCCATCGAATTCCATTTTACGAACCAAACGCCCCCTTAAGAGTTGGAAGAATCATGAATTACACTATCACAATATCAACCACTTAAAAATAAATGTGTCCTCGAAATTCAAGTAAATCTATATATTCACATATCACATCATCTAAATTCTCAACACATAGTTTTAAATTACCTTCTCTTATGAGAAATGGTTTTGAATCAAAATATTGGTAAATAAATCTTTGGTAAAAATATCTCAATGTAAAAGTTATATAAAAAATTAGGTTATTATATAACATAACATAAATAATCCACTATTATACAACTGAAAAAAATAATCAGTGACTATGGGAAATCAAATTGCAGAAACAAATTTGTTGGTCTCCTGACAAACAAATCTTTAAAATAATATCGCAAACTTGTTTTTTGGAAATGGGTGAACCCCAGTCTAGCGCAAATTAATCCCATGACAAGTCGTGACTATAGCCTTTATCCTAAGCCATAAAGTAAATTTCCCAATGACCACAAGCACATATATAGATGGTAGGATTTGAACTCGGATGATTTTATTATCCTCTTGTCTTTTATCCATCATACTACCACCTTTTGTGCTAACTTGCTTTTTTAGATTGGATGACTCTCACTAACCATAGTTTATGAAACTATATTTGCTGAAGTAGTTATCTTTTGGTATGTTATAATGAAAATGTTCTAATTAGGGATGTTCATTCAAACCGTCAAATCACATAAACCGTCCAGACTGCATCACACTGCACCGCAAAGTGCCGTTTAGAATTTCCGTGGTGCAATTTGCGTTTTGCATTTTTACTGAACCCGTGATGCAGTTTGTAGTTTGTAGTTTAGAGTTATCAAACCGCGGTTTAAACCACGTCACACCGCACATTACATATATATTATTATATGTATGTATATGTATATAATAATTAGGCTAGTTTACATAATACTTTTAGTTTTTTAGACTATTTTTAATCATGTAATATTTTTGTTTTCTTAGCCTCTTTTTAATTATGTAATATTTTTAGTTTTCTTAGACTACTTTTAATCATGTAATATGTATTTGGAATTGATTGTATTTAAAAAAATTATTTGTTTGCGGTTTATGACACATGCGGTGAGGTTTGCTATTTGGAAAATGTTCAAACCACACATGCGGGGGGTAACACCCCAAGATCCACATTTACATATAACAATGTATTTCATATATCAAGAAGTACAAATAATACACATTCGGTCCCAACAATACAAGAAACTATATTACATAATATACAACCAAAATTTTCCATAACATTCTTGTACATAACAAGTATTCCAAAAATCAAACAGTTAACATGTTGTTCTTCATAATCATGTAAGCACAAAAGAAAATTTTCACATTTCCCCCTTCTCCTTATCCCTTGGTACAGCCTGGCTTGCAATACATGTTTTTGAAACACAAAATGAGGGTTAGATCTTGATGTCTAGTGAGAAATCCCCTTTTTATAGTTACAGGGTGAAAATCACCAAAACCTTTTGCAAATCAGATTTCTAATCATACAAATATATCTCAATTTTCTTTATAAGACAAAACTCAAATATCATATTTTGATAAGAGTTTATAATTCTTCCTCGCCACTCATGGCACATGACCACTCAGGTCCCCGCATCACTTCTGTACGAGATTCTCAAAGTCCTCACATCCCACTATGCAGGATTACCCGGAGCTCCTCTAGATCTTAAGGACCAGAGCTCATCTGGCTCTCAAGGACCATGTTATGTTAAGTGTTTTTAATTGCAAGGAATAAAACTTGCAAATGTTCAAACAAAATAGTTAAAGTTACAATGTTTCATAATCAATACATAAAAAAATACAAAATCTAGTAAATAATTAAATAAGTTGGTACCCTAGTATTACCATGATATGTGACCCCCAATATAGATTACTAACCAAGTTTGCATACTTGATACGGAACTGATTGTAATTGATACGGTTGATACAAATATTAGCCAATTTAATTTGATACAAAATTGTCACCCCTACTACTTCCTGGTTTTATATATCCTTCTTGCATCCCCAGCCACAAAACACTTCTCTTTCTTAAACGGTGAACACACTTGGAATGACTTCTTGCTGCACTCATACTTGGAAAGATGTTTTTCATGTCTTCTTTTCTCCTTTTTTGAAAAAAGCATTTTTTTTAATCGTAAATAAACAATTTCTCGGCTGCCTGTATTTGATTTATAAAACTAGGAGGAGGTTAACGAGAAAATTAAAAAAAAATAAAAAATTGAATAACACTTTGGTAACCGTTCATTGGACGGTATGCAAATGTGCATACAAGTAACTAAAGTTGTTTTGGTTTTTATGCAAGTGTGCATGTTATGCACATTTGCATACTGGACAAAGTGTTTACAAATTACTTGTATACAAAATGCTTTCCAGATGAACAATTATATTCCTTAATTTTTCATTTTTTTACGGTTTTCTAGGACCCGATCTGATAAAACTAAACCAATAATAATGATATCTTCTCCACAAATGATTAACCTAGACTTGCACGAACTTAGTTACCCGGATCAGGAAATCACCTCTAATATGGGGATTAGAATTGCTCCATTGAAAGTTATGTGATTTCTGCCTTTCTGGTGGTGAGGACTTATCTTATACTCATTTGTAAAATCACATGTGATTATGCACGATCTTGTACGCTGCAGCTTGTACACCCTATAGTTGAGGGTGTTCCTTAAATGTGTCCAACATTGATTGACATTTTGAGCATGATATTTCCATCTACTTCTTAACGAAAAATTTATGGGGAAGAGGAATCCGAAAAAACCCTAGCCTTCATATCTGTAATAGCATTCACAAACAGACAACATACCCAACCCAGCTATCACATAAATCTTTCCAAACCCTAGCCAGACATTGCACTCACACTATATGTAGACTTTGTGTTATTTTAGTTACTTCATATTAGCTTCTAGAGTTTCATATCTTTATACTGTCACATTAAATAAAAACGCCAGTCGGTTTCACGTCAACTTGATGGCACAATTACATGAGGTGATTACGAGAAAAGTCGTCATAAGAATCCAAAGTTGGAGATCAATAATAAGGGAAGGGTAATATGTCTTATTATTTCGGGTACACTAGATTCTGATTTTCTAGGTGCAAATCTTCGTCTTTAGATGGTACTGGTGTTCTTTTTGTTTTGCAAATAATTCCTTTCTAAAGTCTCTTTGTATGATTTTTTTTTTGTGATTTTAGTGAAATCATCGTATATGGGATTAGTAGTTAAGCTATAACACAGACAAGTTGTGGAGTGCAACGACCCATTTAACTATTCTGGCAATCATTTCCCTTTATGGGGAGTTATTCTTGGCATTCACTTAGGAATTGTTTAAAGTTTATAAAGAAATGATTTTTGCAAAAATCATTACTGAAAAATTGAGATTATCTTTGAGTTTATTATGAGAGATTTGCTCCGCTAGCAAAACTTAATGTTGCTCATGTCCTATTATCCATTGTTGTCAATCAAGATTGGCCTTTATTTAAGTTCAATGTGAAAATGTCTTCTTGAGACTAATTTTCTTTGTTTATAACCATTCTTCTTTATGGTATGCACATGTACATACAAGTGATTGAAGATGTTTCCTGGTTTTAATCCACATATGCATATTGGACAAATTACTTTGTATGCATATGTGCATACCATACAAATGAATGGTTAGTAGGGTGTTCCTCGGTTTTTCATTTTTTTTACGGTTTCCCTATATATTCATGTATACATACACTTTCCCCAATAGACATACCAACTACTCTTTTGAGAGGAAATATCAACTTGGCTAGACAAACCAGTTTTGCTGTTTGTTTATATTTCTAACAACATTTTTTGGCAGCAGAATGGAAAGGATCCTTGAGAGGTATGAACGACACTTGTACGTAGAAAGGCAGCTTAATGCAGACGATCCTCAATCACAAGTATGTTATGATTTTACGTTCAAACAATTGTTATCGATGCATTATTTTTCCTTACCAACTCTATGCTACTGTCTGAAATCGACTTGAGAAAAGACACTTGAAATAATTTCGGAACATGGAAAGATGAAGGCTAGAATTGAGCTCTTGCAGAAAACCCAGAGGTATTTACCCCGAGTAAAGGTGTATAATCCTATATTCTCGTTTTTCTAGCTGCGTTTTTCGTTTTCATTTTCAGGACTCATGGGTAAAATGCATCAAATTGTAATAAAATTTGCCTAACGTAGTGTAGACGAATCGTGTAAGAATAAGAGTTATAGTGAGAATAGTAAGAACACTTTGTTGACTTTTGAATCTAAATTCTTTTAACTGCTTTCAGCACCTTCAATTACATTTATCTATCTTTATCTTCACTTTCACGAACTTTTACATACATTTAATTACTTTCGCATGCATGAATTTTTGTTAATGGTTCATTCATGATGATAAAAATAGGTAAATAAAGGTAGTTGAACGTATATATGAAGGTTTTGTTCTCACCATAACTCTTATTCTCACATAACCCAACCCATGTAATGTAATATAGTAAAAACAATTTCTTTAACAAAACGTTAAATTCATTCTTCCTATTTCAACCTTGGTTTACATGATAAATCAGTTTCATGTGACATTTCTACTTAGTCAAGAATTACAATACAACTTGACAAGTTGACATCACCCTCATTAGTAGTTACAAGATATACATACATACATACATGGTTTTTTTGAAGGGCGTCCCAGCAGCCTGGACTAATCCCGGCAAATTGTGACCGCAAGAAATCAGCTCTGATAAACTTAGTGACAATTGTTGTCTATGCCTGGACTGAAATCAAACCCAGGACATATGGGATATTCCACCACATCCCCAGACTCTCAACCACTACGCCACAACCCCTTGTGGTGACTAGTCAAATATGTATGAAATAGGAATAACCGGATGTTTGTTACATTAGAATGAAAAATAAAATTCAACGTCATACTAAATAGGAATTAAAGCAAACTTTGTTGCATTTGGCCTTCAAAGAAAGATATATAGTAAGAAATGACGACATCGTAGGCATTTAATGGGAGAAGATCTTGATTCCTTGAGTCTCAAGGAGCTTCAGAATTTGGAGCAGCAAATAGATATGGCTCTTCGACGCCTTCGATTGCGAAAGGTACAAAAATCATTTCACCTTACAAATTTTCTGCATTCATGCTGTGTGTGTTAACCCAACCCTCTTCCTTCATTCACAGAACCACTTGATGCTTCAATCGATTTCTAACCTCCAAAAGAAGGTACGCCCATTTCCCTGAAACATATTAAATAACTCAGGGAATTGCATGAAGATGTTACCTACTCTGTTTTGATTCTTATTTTGGGGTAACGTACTTTCAAAACCTTCGTTTTGATAGTTAAGATGTAAAGTTTCAAACATTTAAGTGCCTGGATGACCGTTTTAAGCATTAACCGGTTACCTAGGTACTTAAATGTTTCAAGCTTCATATCTTACATACTAAAACAGAGGTTCTGAAAGTACGTTTTCTAAAATAGAAATCAAAAGAAAGTATATATTACATTTTCATGCAATTTACCCAGAAAAAACTTCACTCTTCCCGATGGTTTGATGTGGAAAATTTGCAAAAATCCAAAAGGAAAAATTGTATTTGGACAAATAAACAACTTTTTTGCTAACATTCAATCCAACCTTGGAGCATCCATAAAGGTTGGACTCTCAGTGAAGCTCTTTTTTTTCTAAAGTAGGACTCACAAGCAAAAAACCAGCTTATAACTAACTGCACAAGCAAACAAATGAATATTTGTGTACGGAACTTTTCATAATCTTATGTGGCCAAAAACCTCCATTCACAAGGGTGGTGCCAAAAACCTTCATTCACAAGGTGGTGTCTGATTGGTTTGAACTTGGCTTCAAAGGTCAAAGGTACCTGGAGGTCCTAGGTTCAAATCCAAGGAGAAATAAAAATCCCCTTGTGGCCATGGAGGTTCAAATGCAGTGACTCCGGACTATCTGCAAAGCGCAGGTGGTCACCCTGGGATTAGTCGGCTCGCATAGCGGGTTGGATATCCAGGTTAATAAAAAAAAAGCTCCATTGTAGATGCTCTAGCAGGTCAGATTAAAAGTGTCAAAAGTTGAACAAAAATGGTTCGTCTTTTAAGTAAATGTTTTTTTGGGTTCTTTTGCAAGTATAAATGATGTATTGAAAATGGAAGGTAGAATCAAGTACAAATAGAAGTTTAACTGCGGTTTCTCATTCACGTATTGAAAACGCGCTAACATCATGGTATGGTTCCGGAACATAAAACAACAGGACAAGGCATTGCAAGATCAAAATAACGTGCTGTCGCAGGAGGTAACGTAATTAACTTGGGCTTGTATAATTCAACATAGCGTTTTCACAAGTAGGTAGCATGATGTATTAAAATTAAGCAGATCAAAGAAAAGGAAATCGAGCAATCCCAATCACCTCCTGTGGAGCAGCAAACTCATGAGAACATGTCTTCATTTCAGTTGGGCACCTTGAACCTTGGGTTAGACTCTCCATCAATATAACCTTGATATATGTGTAGGTTCAGGAAAAAACCTGGTAACCATTCATCTGAACGTTTTGCACATGTGCAATACAAGTAATTGAAGCTCTTTCTTAGTTTTTATGCGCATGTGCATGTTACCAGACAAATTACTTAAAAAGCACTTCTACGCACATGTGCATACCATCTAGATGAATGTTTATTAGAGTATTTATCAATTTTTTTGTGGTTTTTCCTCTAAGCTTGACCCTATATATTAATATAAATATATACGCGCGTGTGTGTGTGTGTGTATATATATACATAGAGAGAGAGGGCTTCAAGGAAAAACCCAAAAAATGAAAAATTAAAGAACTTCCTAATAACGATTCATCTATATAGTATGTACGTGTGCATACCATATAAAATGAATGGTTATTAGGGTGTTCCTTAGTTTTTCATTTTTATTGTGGTTTTCACCTGAAACTATATGTGTGTATATATATATATACACACACACACACTATAAGGTACTCGCGCAATGCAGCTAGATACATATTCATTTTAATGTTTCGTTTTATTTTTTGTCTTTGTTTATATAATACGGTTTATGTAGTTTTGAGAAAGATAATGTTTTACTTTTGAATAAAAATAAATTCGAAGGCATCATAATTTTTTTTTTAAATATATCGATATTAGTATCAAATTAACTATTTAAAAGTTCTTGTTTTTTATATAATTTATTTAATTCAGTTTTTTTATTATAATTTAATTTAGGTCAAATAGTGAAATAATT